AAATGATAAATCAGACCCCCTCCCACACATCACTTGTGGGGTAGGGGAGTGTCTGGCGCACTTCACTCTGCGAAGTAATTAAGGGTCTTAAACAAATTCAATGCAAGGATGTGACAACGCATCATGGTCCCGTGTGTAATTTCGCTTAACTCCAAGCCCACGTGTGCCTTCAATCTCTCACCCTGACGGAAGCCCAATCCGCAGGAAATGGTTGAGGTTCTTTGGATTTCCGCTAAGCACCGTTCAACAAATCGTTCCTGAGTACACACTCATAAGCAAAATTAGGTATTTAACTTCCGCCCAAACCCTGTGAAGAATCAATAGGCTAACTGCAATGTTTCCTCCTCGACACACAAACCATCAACCAGCCAGGTTCTGACTTGGGCTCTCATAGCGGAAGTTGGCGTAATCCTTTTTCGGTGTCGGCTTAAAGGCACACTTTTCGGGCTTGGCTTCAAGAGAAACTAAAAGAAAAACCACTGCAGACCACCATGTTGGGGCACCATACACCGCAAAACCACTTCCCTTCAGGGAAACCCTGAACAAGCACATATAAGCACATGATATATTATGTATATATCAACATGAGCCTGCACTGTTTTTTCCCCTATATGCTATCTCCGGATCGCCTTGAACTCCGCAGCGATGAACTTCTCGCCTGAAGGCTTGCAGCAGGGTGGGGGGGTTCGAGCAACTTAGTTTTCTTGGCGCCAACATCACCCGGCTGCCTTCAGATCCGCAGCTAAAAGTGACTAGTGGCTTAAATTCGGAAACCCAACCAGTAGACCGACCAACTAAGAAGCATACAAAAAGCTAAGGGGATAGATAGCGTCGTCCGTAAAGTAGCAAGGCCAGCCCACACAAAATCCCAAGACCAGAGCGTATAGCTCCACACTTCAAAAGGGCTCCTGCCATTGTGTTTGGGGAAAGAGTGGCCTACCTCATGGAAAGAAATCCTTCTTGGTGGAACTGATTCGTCCGAAACGGTGGATGCAACGGACCCGGCTCGAATGTGTGGAGAGTGTGCTAGACTCAAGAAGGCTCTGAACAAGGATATGTGGTTATAAGAATCGCTTTAGATGGTCAAGCATCATCGCAAATGCCATGTCAGGGTGCTTCCAGATGAAATCTCCAAGCCATTGCAAGCCCCGTCCACTGTTGCAGGCATCGCCTGCAGAATTGCATGTTCAGGTGTTTGCAAATGAACTGCCCCAACAGTTCGGTGACCCGAGGGATTCAGGGAAGTGTGCAAATTAATAAACTGACTAGCAACTTGAGATAAGAAAGCCCTTGGAAAGCAGCAATCTTCATCAGGAGTTGCAGTAGCTCGTTTGCTACAATTTGTGCAAGAGATGCACACACACACACACAGTCGCAAAGCCAAGGGTCCCTGCACGCCAGAAACTGTCTGAAACCTGGTTTGAGAGCCTCAACAAGGGGATCCATAGCAGCCTTGTACGGGTGCCGACACAGTCAATACTCACATCCGTGTCATTGGAAACGCAAATCTAAAGGGTCATGCCGAAGTCATGCCGAAACTCCTTCCCCGCATGTCAACCCAAGCTGCAATGTGACCTTGCTTTAAGCTGAGTAGTCAAAACTATGGAATACCGTATATGCACACCCAGCCGCGAAAGTCATTGCACCGCCAAGCAAAACCGCATCGGAGCGCAAAGCATTGAGTGAGTCTGGAGCTGATTGAGCCTTGAGCTGCCTGAGCCATTGGCTCCGCCTGCAAAGCATCGACTTTGCATTGATCGTAGCAAAGGAAACCGCATCGCAGTTGGGCTCTTGTCGTACATGAGATGGCTCTGCTTGGCCATGCCAATCGGCTCAGCGCATTGTGTTGCGCACTCTCTACCGTTCTGAATGGTGTCAGTCATGTGGGGCGCTGACGTAACCTGAAACAAGGGCCTAGGACAGAACCTTCATCCCGTGCAAGCTCGAGAAAACAAAGCTTGTAAAATGGTTCTGCCCAACTGGGCCATTACCTTCCCATGGTCCCCCGGCTCGAAATGGCCTGCGCCCTTGTGGTAGCCAAAGAGAAACCGCAAATGAGTGTGTCTTCTTTCAGGTTGGACCCGGCAATGAACGGTTGGCTTTCCTGTTGGATTGTCCTTAAAATCAACTAAAGGGTGGTTCCCCGCAAAAATGTCAGACCCACATCTCTTGATGGGGCCCAGGCCAAACGTCTTGTGCCAGGAGGGGCTCGTCTCGGAAGACCGCCGCTTTGGTGACGTCCACTTGCCTGTCCTAACAATCCAAGCGGCGCAAGCCGTAGATTCCCGACGCGGGCATATCTGAGCTCCAGATGAGTGGTGGCTTCTTGTTGGTTTCCCTTCACGACCAGGAACCGCCAAGAAGGCAAAACGAAACACCCGAGTATTGCAAGTAAACCAACCACGAGCCGGGACAAAAACCACGTGCGTAACACCAAAAAGAAAGTCCAACCATGCTTCGGGCACACCCATCTTCATCTCCACATTTGCCCAATATGAGGGCCAAGACAGGCATGCTGACTATATCAGCAAGGTCATGTTCTTATCTTATGTCATCAGGATCCTCGCTCTTCTCGCACTCCTTTTTGGGAGAAGCCAGTGTGGTGGAAACTGTCTGCACCTCTGCATCAGTCAAAGACCCAACAAGGTCCCCTCGGTTCTTGGCTGGGCGGTAGGCGATCTTGGTGATTGAACCCTTCCGTGAGCGCCCATTCTACAGTCCATGTGCCGGCAATGGTGTAGATATCGGAAAACATCCGGAAGACAGTAACAAGCCAAGAAATCCCGTCAGGATCAGGTTTCTGCCAGGAGGACCACCCCTGATCAGAATGGTCCTCCGGATTGATCTGAAGTTGAAAGCATGCCCCTTGGCATTAAAGGCAGGGTACGATTCGCAAACACGCCAAGTCATAGTCGCAAAAAAAACAATCTGATTTAACTGCCAAACTCTTGTGCCTATACGAACAATGTCAAATAGCGGTGTGTTCAATGTTGTCTACACCACAACTTTGCTCGTGCGCATCAAGTCCAAATTGCTGTAAACCTATCACCACAAGCAGTACTTCGATGGGCAATGCAGCGAAGCATGTTAAGCAACTGACTAACCTCCGTTTTATTCTCCCAGTGTGCTGGAGCACGATGCGCAAGTGATAGGAACCAAACCACCAGAGCAAAAAACCCTCTGGGAAAGAAAAGCAAAATTCGGGAAACACCGTAGACACATCGCCGAAAAATAAAGTAAAACTAGAAGTCGTGACACCCAGCAGACACAAAAACATGAGCTCGCTCCCCCCAAAAAAGTCATCGGGAATCCGGCGCCTGATCTGATCCAGTTTCTTGAAGACCGCCACGTCGGAGCCTGCCGTCGGCCGAAAAACTTGAAGCACAGGAGGTGAAAGGAGAACCCGGGGGCCCCTCGAAATGGGGCAAAAGGACAAAAAAAGGCGCGTGTTTTTGGGGAAGGGACCAGTTACCGATTGTGTCTTGGGGGCAGCAGTTTTGGGGATTCACATGCGCCCAGTCGCCAAGGAATCGCTGATTGAAACAAAAAAGGATGCCCCAAACCCGGAAGGTACCTTTTGGGTTTGGAACATTGTCGGCTCTAAGCACACAAAACACCATGGAGCGGGTTCCCTCTTCTTAGGGCAAGGACCCAACTTCGCTCCTGAACACGTTTCTTTGAATGGGCGAGAGTGTCAGCTACACACAGCTACACATGCTCCAGCTGATCAGAGATACATCCCTGCAAAGTGCAGATCCTTCCCATCCGGGTGTTCACCACATTGAGGGGTTCACAAGTCTTTTCCGCAACCGCGCAACGTGTCCGTGAAAGGAAAGACCTTGTGGAATACTCAGGCTGCAGCAACTTCACAACCCTTGCTATGGTTGCAACAAATTGTGCTTTTTGCAGCCCCCTAAGAATGAACGGAACCAAACAAAACAACTTGCCAAGTCGCTTTGAAGTAGCAGGAAACTGTGACAGAAGGAAGCAAAATTCGACTTGCATGCTCGGCTTTCGCGGCCGCAGGCTTCGAGCTCGAAACTCGCAGCTGCATCCAAGCGGCAGAGATGCCGCCAGTCCTAACATCTCAGCACAGAGCATTGCAAGCCAATGGCAACGGCCACGGAGTCAAGAGTTACAACCCTCCGATCCCGTAAAGAAACGTCCAAGTAGACCAAGCGCAAACTACAGAAATCTGCAAGAGGCTCTTTGTTTTCAATAGTTTCAAAAACCAAACCACACGAAACTTTACCGGATCCCCTTCCTCCCTTGCAATACAATTGGGAAACCAAACATACCCAACAGCTGCCGCCATCGGGCTCTATGAACCAGCCCGCATTGGAGACGAAACTGCCTGGAGAGCAGCTCGACTTTTGGCCAAGCTGACCCCAAAGGGCACAGGCATCAGCGCCCAGGAAACGTGCGGAAACTGGACATTTGGTTTTGCCTGGGTTCCAGCTCTGCGCCCAAAATACCAGCAGCAGCGAAAAATATGTTTTGAGTTTAGGCTGGAAAGCAGCGCCTGAAATGTTCGAGGTTGCCCATCGAGTATCTCGCCTCCCAGTGTTGAAATGGACTTCGCCGGCAGAAGGCCAAAAGCTTGTAGAGATAACAAAAAAACAACATGAACATATTCTCGGTTGCTTTCTGCTCCCCTGCTAAAAGCTTAACTTTTAGTGGTTTAATGGAAAACCCATCAATTAGCAAAAAGTTAAAGTCTTAACATCCAAGCAAAATGCACCAAGGTATTGTAGTTGTGCAGTGGAAGTCAATTACGATACGGTGCTAAACAAAAGCAAGCCCCCCGGCTGGCGATGTGTTCCTCTGCTTCCCGTCTCCACAAGAAACATGATGTTCCCTGGTATGGATATTTCATGCTGACCGTCCCGAAAAGCAGCATGGCCAAGACTATGCTCTTCAAAGGTTGCAAATTCCGACATAATAAAGAAAGAGACCTTCATGACGTTATCATGGCCCTCGCGACTTTTTGTTCAGGTTAGCTGATTGTCCGACCAAGTAACGGCCATACCCATCCTTGGAAAGAGGTAGCACACCGCCCTCTATTTTTTCTTGCAAAGGGTGCATCTACAAAAGATGAATAAATTATATATATATGCGCATTCATATACATATCATACGTACATTAATATATATAGTATAGTACTTCTTATTATTATTATTGTTATTAGCAGTAGAATTATTGGTATTATTTGGTAGGGGGAACCTCACAACAGCCATACATTTCTTGGGGGTGGGACATGTTGCGGAAGCCTTGACTCTCGCATTTGGACATCTTCAATCATTTCGGGGTCCCATCTAGCGACATATCGCAAACCAGGCCACCCAGACACCAAGGCGCGGCGCTCAAGTCCGCCAGCAACGTCTGCAGCAGGCTCTTGAGATCGGCGCCTGAGAACCGACAGTGGTACGGGATCCATTTGGGGAGCCTTGGACCAATGGGGAGGGTTTAGAGTGTTTAACCCTTCAACCCATTCAAATTGAGCAAGTGTTTAAGTACAGAGGGTCGCAACTGGGCTGGTCTCCAAACAAGAAAAACCACCAAGCACGTCGGGACCCAAAGCTTTTCAACAAACAGAGAGACCTGACAAGGGCCCCGGCAATGGGAGATGCTCTTGGGTTGAGTTACTCCCTGAGATAAGTACAGGTCACTTAAAGCGAGACCCGGTTGGCAACTCAACTTTCAAGCACCCTCATATGGTGCACAAACACCATGTGGCGTGGCCAAAAAGGTTGTCGCTTTCACTTGCAGGTCGCTGGAGACTGGGCAAGGAAACCAAAAGGAAAATGACCGCCGTCGACCCCAACCACCAGGTGTCTCGAGATTCGACCCGCAAGCCCTATTGTGAAAGCTGACAAGACCTTGGCTTTCAGGTTTCGGCTCGGAAAGGTAGAATTTTACTCACGGCACTGCATCCTGATGATTTGTCTTGTTGACGAACGCTGGGAAGTTCCAAAAAAACCCGCGTTTGTTTCTGAGACACCTTGTAATGTTAGACCATTTTCGCTCCTTGGGCAAGGGTGAAATCAACAGCAAAACCGTACTGAACTTGCCTCAGATCTCCTGCTAAACTTTTCACTTTCAATGGGCGAAATGGACACCCCCACTAAACCCTAAAGAGCTAAGAAGCTAAGGGGATGGCTGGGAGCCACCAAGAATACAAACACGTGTATTTGATATCCTGGCCTTGATCCCTCCATCGAGCAGGACAAGCCCCCTAGACTCTTCCAGGGTGCTAAACGTCTTCTCGTAGGCGTGCCGGTTGTGGTGGTTGCGCGCGCGCCTTTCCCGGTTTCCGAAACCGGGACTCGCACGACCGCGAGCGTTAGGTACAATTGCGGCCCCGTCCCTCAGGATCGACATCGGGGCAAGCCTGCACTTTGCACTCTGTCAAATGATCCGATCTTTTTTCTGTGGGAAAAACAAGACAGGAGAAACCTGCGCCACAACTAAGGGACCCGGAGTCGTTGAAGGATTTTGTGGCCTTACTACTACTTACATCTTCCCAGGCTCCTCAACCGAACAAATGGCAACGTCAAACCGCCATGCTCGTGCTTGAAGATCTTGAAGCGGGTTTCTGCCATAGCCAAGACAGTGGGGGCTTTGAAAACCCGGTCTTCAGTGGTATCAACACAAAGGCGTCCTTTCAGGCAACATAGATGGCCCTGGTAGATGATTCAACCACCAGGTAAACCAGGGACCAAAACAACCAAAAAGGACACCTATGTATCGACATCTCAGGACATTGCACCGACAGAACTCTCTGAAGGTCCCTACAGGAGTCCTTGCAGTCTGACAAGATTGAATGTATGATTCGCTGGAAGCCTATGAACCGTTTACTCTTGCTTCATGGTCGACTTGCAGCCATTGACTGTCCTAGGCACCAAACACCCAGGTGCATGCATTCAGCCTATCGATTAGTTGCATTTGCGACAATAGTGGGTACTGTTGCGTCAACGGGGTGGTCGCCCTGTGCGGAAACACTGGAGAATTGGGAGTCGCCCTCCCCGAATCGGCCATAGATTGCGAAAAAGGGCGCAAACAAGCAAAGTGTTCGACCCTTCACAGCGCGGCAGGCATTTCGCATAAGAAAGTGACCAGTTCATAAACAAAAAAGCAAAAGTCCACATAAACAACACCATTCAACAAACTCGATACATGTTGTTCTTGTTTGACAACCAAACAAACACATATTTTACTCGGTCATGCGAGAAAAAAAAGGAAAAACAACTGAATCAATCTTCTGGCTACGTCTCACACGTGCCCAAGTGCTGCCCCGGGCACGCCATTGCAAAAGCGCCAGTGTCAAGCCTTGGCGTGGCAGCGCTCGGCCGCGGATCGCGCCATCTCCGTTTAACCGAACTGACCCAAACACGACCTATGGTCGGTTCACTGACAATCTGCAAATTCCACCTCCGGCCAGTGATGCCCCGCAGCCAATGTAAGAAGAGTTGATTTCCCTGGCAACCTACCCACGGCGACAATAGTACATTCAAAACTACTAACATGTTGCCGCTTTGGTCCCGTGCTCCTGACGATACTCAGTTCAGCCAAAATCTAGGCCCACGTTAGCAATCGACTGGCTCGCCAGGCCGCCGCCTTCCAAATCAAAGGGGCAGCATGGCAGTGTGAAGCTCCTGCTCTTCTTTGGTGGTGACCAAGCTAAGCAGCGCCCGAAAGAGAGTGTAAAGGAATAAAGCGGCCAACACAGGGTATTGGGCTCAGCAAAGCCAGGAAAAACAAGAGCCTCATGTTCGCGCCGGTATTTCGCAACATGAGAAGCCAATGCTGATCATGATGTAGATAATACCAACATGAAGCAGGATCAATTGCAACTTGTGGGAAACGCAGTCTCAAACACCTGTGGGAATACCCCACCAAATGGCGCTACACTATCCATCCCAATGGGTCCAAAAGTCGCCAGCCCCCAAACATACAGCAAACAAATGGCCAGCCGTGTGTGGGCAATGTAGTATGAATTCCCTCCCTGATCGACTCGTCGCTCAATCGGTCTTTCAGTGGTATCGACAGTTGACTGCAAGACGATGGGTCTACAAACAGCACCGAAGGGTTCCGGCTCGAGTACGTGTCTGGGCAACGGGAAGGCGACAGCAACGGGAGGACTACAGTTCTGCGTCGCTGGAAGAAACACAATCGCAGATGTGGTACACAGATCGCAAGCAATCCGAGAAAAAAAAGGAAACAACAACTGCCAAGGAGCAATTCTTGGCCGTGGTGGTCCATGACCAATTTCAGGTTTGCCTTCACAGTGGCAGCAGCGCCTCCCGAGGAACGTGTGCCCGAAAGGGTAGACATGACGTGAGCCTTCAACACAGACCAAATTGATGTGGTGCTTTGGCAGGAAAAACAACGTTTGGTTGGACTTAAAGGAACCACCAAGGAAGAACTGAGTGAACCATTTTGCAAGTTTGTAATCTGAAACACAAACGAGAACTCTTGGGCCCATATACTGCATCTGATGGGGACAACAATTGATAATATGCGCCTGCATTGGGAAACTTACATGACACCAACCGTTTAGCGTTTACTGTTGAGGCATTGCCAACTGGAGTGAGGATCAGTCGGCGGGTTCTCCGCATTTGTATCCAGCACTTGCCAATCGGGGCAACATCAAAGTACGGGCCTTCTTGTGACACGGCGTTCGCACAAGCTTCTTTCATCTCACCCACAGTCTTTTGTAAACCCTGCAAGCCGCTTTCATGCTCAATGGACGCAACCAACACAAACCAACACAGGACTTGGAAAATGTGCGGTTCTCGCAATGGACATGTGAGTTCCCAAGACTATCGCAAATCTGACGCTGCCACACCTCGGACTACGCACCAGCCGAAAAAAAACAGCAGGAAACAAGTTGGCTTCCCAAACGGAAGTCCAAGCTCAAGGCCCTCTTTTGGGCACGGTGGAAAGGGGGACACACATTGCCCCGAGAATTGAAGCAAACGGGGTTCCCAAGTCTCACACATCAAGTCTCGCATATTCAAAGGATACGTTCGGGAAATCTCCCTTGCAAAAGCTTAATTTAAGTTTGGGGTCCCAGTTTCCAGAGATGCTCTGTCTAAGCCTTTGAACCTTCAACTCTTTGGTCAAAGTAAGAGAGAGTTCTAAATATTGTTGGCGGCGTGTTAAACACCAACCCCCTTGCCACCACCACCCCCCCCCCCGGCACACGAAGCCACCCCCCTCCACCACCACCTCACCCCCGCCCGCACACAAAGCCACCTCTTCACCACCACCCCCCCCCCCCCCGCGCACACGAAGCCACCCCCTCCCCCCACCACCACCCCTTCTGCACACAAAGCCACCCCCCCACCACCACCCCCCCCTGCACACAAAACCACCCCCCCCCCCACACACGCAGCCAACCCTCCCTCCACCACCCCGTCAAAGACCCTAAACCAGCCCTAAAACACCCTAAACCAACCCCAAACTAACCCTGAACAAACCCTCAACCAACCCTAAACTAACCCTAAACCGACCCTAAAACGCTCGAAGCCAAAGCTAAAGAAACCCTAAGCCTACCCTAAACCAACCCTCAGCAAACCCTAAACCGACCCTAAGCCCACCCTAAAACACCCTAGGCCAAACCTATACCAACCCTAAGCCAACCCTTCAACTCTAATCCAATCCAACCTAAACAAACCCTAAACCAACCCTAAACCAACCCTAAAATTCCCTAAACCAACCATAAAGCGCCCCCAAACCAAGCCATTCCCAAACTAATCCTAAGCCAAACCTCAAACACGTTAAACCAACCTCAGGTAAACTAGCCTTCAACCGACGCTAAAACTCTAAACCAACCCTAAACACCCTAAACCAGCCAACCAACCCCAAACTAACCCTAAACAAACCCTAAACCAACCCTCCTAGACCAAGCCTAAACTAACCCTAAACCAACCCCAAGCAAACCCTAAACCGACCCCTCAACCCTAAACCAACCCTAAATTACACTAAACAAACCCTAAACCACCCTAAACCACCCTAAACCACCCCAAACTAACCCTCAACAAACCCTAAGCCGACCCTAAACACCCTACACCAGCCCTAAAACACTCCAAACCAACCCCAAACTAATTCTAAACAACCGCTAACCCAACCCAAAACACCCTAAACCAGTCAACCCCAAACTAACCCTAAACACCCTAAACCAGCCCTAAAACACCCTAAACCAACCCCAAACTAAGCCTAAACAAACCCTAACCAAACCTAAACCAACCCTAAACTGACCCAAAACCAATCCTAAACTAACCCGAAAAAAAACCTTGCAGCCGCCAGGGGGGGGGGGTGTGGTGACCCCCCCTCTGGCAGCCGCGCAAGGGGGTGGTGAAGGGGGGGGTGGCTTGAAAACATCGTGCCACGTTACGGAGAACTATCAAGTAAGAGTGTGAGGGTTCACATGGGTATGAACTTTCATTGGGGCTTTGTTTGACATCAGGTGGGGAATCATGTCCACCAATCACTTGTGGTTCCCTACTGTGGATGGACAGAATCCTGCACCACCTAAGAATCTCTGGAATGATTCGATTCCCCTGTACATACCAGCAAACTCCTGCACCACTTTGAACCACAACACAGGGGTGCCAAGATGTGGTTGTGGGTCAAAAATGCTGTGGATGGACGAAGTCCATTTCGCACCACCTAAGAAACCATAAAACGTTCCATCCACAGTATTACACATCATCTATGGCTCTACGACGGGATGCCTGTTGCCAGCCTGCGGAGAAGCTGAAAGAGGGAAGCGCCTCCTCGAGTGGCTCCTGCGCTAGCCGCTGCAAACCAGCACATGGGAAACCGTTAAAGTCTGAGAGAGGGGAGGGGGAGGGAGCCCAAATAAGCCCTTAATAAGGCCTTATTTAGTCCCTCCCCCCCCCAGCCCCCATTGCCCATGATGAACCTAAACAAGCACTTGCCATGCATACCTGGTCATACTGATTTTCTAAGCCTGAATAATATGCTAAACAAAACCTTCACAACGACTGCTCTTTTCCAGCCATCGTGCTACTTATTTATTTCAAGCAGGCCCACAAGGTTTGGCCAACCAACAAGCCTGATTCAGTCTTGGCAAGCATAAAACACAACCTTGGATTACACAAGCTACTGCCTATACTTCTACCGCGGGTATTTCTTCATAGACTTGAGTTCCTCTTCCCAGGCATGGAAGACAACAGCTAGCCGGAAACAGCACATTGTCGTGTTACATGTTGTTCCCCATCCGTCAGATGCGGTTGTCAAACTTGTCGAACATCCGCACAGACGACAGACAAAGCCAGTCAGATACAGACATGCCAGAGCCCCTTAAATAGCCAGTCAGATGCAATGACAGATGCCACAAGCAGTCAGAGGTATGCGCAGGCCCAAGTCATGACAAGCAGCCACACAAATGCACCAAGTCTGCCTGAGTGTGGGGCCAGGGTTTGGGTCGGGAAAAACATGTAAGCTCAAACTGGCCGGGGGCGCTGGCAGCATCTGGTGGACAAACTACAGCATGGAGACAAACTCGGAAAACTGAAACTCGGAAAAAAATGACTGGAGGCGCAAAGACTAGGAAACACTTGGAGAAGCGGAAAAAAACTCGTACAACTAAGCGGAAGAGCGGCCAGCTGGCCTGCTCTGCTTCGAGGCCACCAAACTGAGCCAGGAAGGCTGGCAAGCGCTCCAGGTGTCCGGCGCAGCGTGGGCCATGTATGTGGCCGTGGCCTTCTGAAGCCCTGGGTGCTGTGGAACAACACCTTTGCATTCCCAGAGCGCCCTCCTTTGTGAGAGCTTGTGGCCATTCTTGCAAAAGAAAGGGCGTCTTGAGGCGCAGGCAAGTTTGGCTTGCGGGCAAAACAGGTCCTGGCCCCGGAAAACGCACAGTGCGCTTCGAGAGGCTTCCGTTGAAGAGTTTTCACATGGTGGGCGCGAAGAAGCTGGAGCCTTCGCCATTGGACAAGGCACGAAGCAGGAAACGTCCCTCGTCCAGGCCGGGCCGATTGCCACTTTGGGCCGTCTGGGTCATGACGCTACTCTCGTTCACAAAGCGCGGGCACGGGCAGCTCTGCCACGAAAGCGGCTGGTCTAAGAAGAATGAACCAGCGAGCCGTTGCGCACCCAGTGCCTAGCTCTGGCGACTGCCGACTGCGGCCGGTTCAGCTGGCACGGCCCGGTCACCCAGTAGACCGTATCGCACTTTTTTGGAAGGGGAACCACCCGGGGTCAGCGTTGCTAAGGAACCTGGTTCCAACCAACCTGGGTGTTACATAAGGGATCTGGCCTTCTTGGTTGTTTGCCGTTTTTCCCGAAAGCATGGCGAAGGGTTCTTCCGTTGGATTCATAGGAGTTATCATCATGAGAGTCATTGCAAAGAGTTATCCATCATCATCAGAGTCATTGCGCAGAGTCATCATCATCAGAGTCATTGCAAAGAGTTATCATCATCAGAGTCATTGCACAGAGTCATCATCATCATCATGAGAGTCATTGCAAAGAGTTAACATCATGGCACAGAGTCATCATCATCAGAGCCATTGCACAGAGTTATCATCATGGCACAGAGTCATCATCATCATCATCATCATCATCAGAGTCATTGCAAAGAGTCATCATCATCAGAGTCATTGCAAAGAGCTGTCATCATCAGAGTCATTGCAAAGAGTTATCATCATCAGAGTCATTGCACAGAGTCATCATCATCATGAGAGTCATTGCAAAGAGTTAACATCATGGCACAGAGTCATCATCATCAGAGCCATTGCAAAGAGTTATCATCATGGCGCAGAGTCATCATCATCATCATCAGAGTCATTGCAAAGAGTCATCATCATCAGAGTCATTGCAAAGAGCTGTCATCATCAGAGTCATTGCAAAGAGTTATCATCATCAGAGTCATTGCACAGAGTCATCATCATCATGAGAGTCATTGCAAAGAGTTAACATCATGGCACAGAGTCATCATCATCAGAGCCATTGCAAAGAGTTATCATCATGGCGCAGAGTCATCATCATCATCATCAGAGTCATTGCAAAGAGTCATCATCATCAGAGTCATTGCAAAGAGCTGTCATCATCAGAGTCATTGCAAAGAGTTATCATCATTATCATCATTATCATCATCACAGTCATTGCACGCTCGTGAGAGCCACTGGCGAGGAGCAATGCTCATGAGAGTCACTGGCGAGGAGCAATGCTCATGAGAGTTCTCACTCATGACGTCTGTGCGAGCGACCCTCTGCGGAGATTCGTGTGGTCGAGGTCAAAAAACTGAAGGTTTTTGGCAATTTTGACATTCCAGGATGAACCCTCTGCGGGGATCGGCGTGGTCGATGTGCAAAAACTGAGGGCTTTTTCGAATTTGAATATGCTCGCGCGACCCTCTGCAAGGATCGTGCGTGTCGAAGCGCCCTCGCTGCGGCGCCGTGCGAACTTGTTGCTTGCGAACTGGTCTTTGGAAGTTGTCGCGTGGTCCGCGGCAGCTTTTCTAGACAGAAATCGCAACTGTTAAGTGCAAACGTAGTACACGGACGCAGCTCCGGCTGGAAAATCGAAACTTTTAAGTACAACTTACGCGGGGTACAGTCCTGCAGCTCCGGCTGCATAATGGAACTTTTCAATCAGAAGACTAGTGTGCGAAGTACTTCCCGAAAGCTCCGGCAGCACTTGCGCAGAGCAACTTTCACAGAGCGCTGCCGCTTGCGCAGAGCAACCTGCGCAAAGCAAATTGCACAGAGCACTTGCACATAACAGCTAGCGCAGGACAACCTGGCCAGACCAAAAGTCAGGTGTCCTGTTGGGAGAATTATTATCATGAGAGTCATTGCACGGAGTCATCATGACAGCCATTGCAAAGGGTCATCGCACAAGAGTGAGTCATTGAACGGAGTCATCACGAGAGTGATCGCACAGAGTCATCATGAGAGTCATTGCCCAGAATCATCATGAGAGTCCTTGCGCAGAATCATCATGAGAGTCATTGCACAGAGTCGTCATGAGAGTCATTGCACAGAAGCATCATGAGGGTCATTGCACAGAGTCATCATGACAGCCATTGCATAGAGTCATCGCACAAGAGTCATTGAACGGAGTCATCACGAGAGTCATTGCACAGAGTCATCGTGAGAGTCATTGCACAGAATCATCATAAGAGTCATTGCACAGAGTCATCATGAGAGTCATTTGCGTTGTACTCACTGATTTGCTCGAGGGCGGTATATGTGTCATCTTTGACGTGCTTGGCAAACTCGTGTGAGGGGGGGTCCGATTGGTGGCAAGATAGCAGGAACAATTTTAGTTGCTGTGTATTGCTCGTGACCACATCGAGCAAAAAACTTGCGCGGGAATGATCGCCGGGCTGTGATGCTTTCGGGCCAACCGTGGTCTAGTTATTTTAATTTTTCGGGGGAAAGGGGGCACCTCCAACCAACGGAAAAGTCTCAAAATAGGGCCTCGCATTGTGAAGTGCTGGGTATGTCTTTCGCTTTGGGATGATGCGTGGAGCAAGCACCACCTCCCAAAGCGAAGCCGGGCATCTTGTCTGAACACGTCACGTGCCATATTTGTGGAAGACAAACAAGCAATCACTGAACCATGTCACAAGCATCACGCTCCACATGAGGTACATTTGGCCAGATGCATGCTGCTGTAGGCCCAGTTTAGACAGAACAAAACGAAGCGGTCTGTCCTCCAGAAGCATCGGGTAGGCATTTGTAAGTGCCGTCAGGATATCCTCGGCAAAGCATGCCAGGCCCGGCTTGCCAAATAATAGTAGACATGCCAAAGCAGTGCCATGGGATTTCCAGAAGGTCAAAAAAGGAACCAGTGTTTCGTCCAAACCCCTGATGCAAATGGCATGTCTCGTTGAGGGACCCGGATGTGTTTGAATGCTCTAAATGCACTGCTTCCTCCGAAGAACACAGTTGCACTGAGCGGGAGGGTGGCACAGGTCCCGGCAAGTGGACGAGAGAAAAGTTGTTGGACTAGCGCCATCTGCTTCCCTCATGAAGCAAGTCACCCTTGCGAGGGTGCTATGAATTCCCAGAAGTTACATCCGTGGAACCCGAAGGAGGCTTGTAAGGCCCTCGAACTGATGTTTCCCATGTTACATTCTCAAAGTCCCTGGAAGGGCTCGAGGTTCCTTTCGGGGAAACATAAAGACCGCAACACCAACATAAGCATCGTCCAACGCATAGGGGCGGTGTTGAGTGCAACTCCAGCCTTGAGTGCCCTTCACCTGGTGCCACACTTGTGGGCAAGAACGGGAAGCCAAAAGGTCAAAAGCTTTGTCGAGGGAGCAACAAGCACTGGTAAGGCAAACAGATAGCTGCACGCGGCGATATCAGCCACAAGCACAAAACACTGCACTTGTGTCCACAATACAAATGAGTGTAACCAAAAATATAACTATGGCATAGCCAAGAGGAACGAAGTGACAAGTTGCAGAAACCCTCGCAGGGGTCGTGTCCTTCTCAATAATCGCGTTCTATGAGGATTAGATGTCATGAAGACTGAGGTTCTTGTGGGGTGTGCATTTTTGAAAATAGCCATGCGTTGATGCCAGACTTGCTTTTGGATGGACACGAATCAAACTTGGATCAATGGATCCACTCAGCCAATCGGCTTGGTTGAAAAACGCAACCCAGCCGGAAACACCACAGATCTGCTCAGCTCATGAAAACATCACATGGGTGTGGGTCAAAACTGGGGACCCCAAACGGAACCCTAATGGAAACAAGGGCTAAAACCAGCGGTCCCAGCTGGGAACCTGGCGTGTCCACCACAACCATCCACCCAACGGCTGGCAAGGGTGCCATCCTTCCAGCTGGCGCACGCATCGCAGCCTGGGAGTTGGTGTGCGGAGCGGGCCTGAGTTACAACATGCCCTCCTTCATGTTGCCATGGACCAAATGGTCTAGGAAAATTTCGTTTTTTTGCAGGATCACGAAATGTGCAGGTTCCATGCTAGTGGACAGGAGGGTACAAATAGTGTTCCCAAACCTTAGTTTCTTCCATGCCCCAAACTGGGCCGGACGCAACAAGCATCCCGAGGGGCGCGACGTGAGTGGATCTCCGAACAAGTACTATAAACAATCAACCGGACACCTCCATAGTGAAGTGAGAACATGTTGGAAGTTTGTGTTTCTATGCCTGTTTGTATAGCTGAGTGCGTGCTCTTTGTACGGTTGCAACAAACAGAGCTCTTTGAGTTGGCATTCCACATATTTTGCTTCGATAGTGTAGCGCGTTGACTGATGCTCTCAGTATCTCTTCCAACAATACTGAGATTCTATGCGCTGAAGCGCGCGCTCTCGTGATCAATGTGGAGAGCAACTTTACCCGAAGTCAATACCACCTCCAACATCAAGGTGAAATCATGGCTTCGCGCTGAAACGTGTCGGGCCCTCCCAATTTCAAATGCCCCTCTTAAACGCATCCCAAGCAAAACCTTCCTAATCTTACGCACATGTTTAACACATTCCAACACAATGTAATGCAACCGATGGATGCGTGAGATCGGGGTGGCTTTTGGACATAGCTATCGCTGTGGAAGAGAGGCTGCTCAACTTTTGAGGAATGCCGTTGAACAAACATGCAGCCCAAGTCCTATGTTCACCAGGTGTTGAATAAGGGATATGGACTTGAGGAGCGGGTGAACGAAAGCTAGCAGTTGTTGCATGAGATGGGTCGGTGACAGAGTGGATTCATAGGTAGCTTGTGTACAACGAGAGGCCCGACAAGATTCGTAGGATGCGTGACGCAAACGCACATGGTGGCGTGGCAAACCTTGAAAAATGAAAACAACGAGAGGCGTCAGAAGCTGTCTTAAAGCACCTCTGGGTTCTGCATGCAGCGTGTGCAAAGACTCTTGCGAGGTGGTTTACCGAGAAGACTGAGGTCTCAAGTGAACAAGCTGAATCGGTGGAACATGTAAAAGTTCGTAGCACCAAGTCCAAAACGGGCAAACCGAGACTGCTGAACACTGAGCCACTGCCCGGGGAAAGGGGGATGGACCAGGGAGGAATCGAGCCTGAGACCCGGGGGGGGGGGGGGAAGGGGGGGGGTCTAAATAATTGATATTTTTCAATCTTTTCGGCTCAAATAATTGAAAAAATCAATCTTTCGGCATTTGAGCCCCTCCTTACCTTGCTTACGCAAGGAGAAACTTCAGCTAGCTAAAGCTAGCTTTCGTGAAAACACACAATTCCTCATTCCCTTATGGCTTAATCCGTTTGACCGCGCAATCTCCTCTGTAGCCCATGCTACCGAGAAATCCCATCAGAATCTGCTTTGGGGTGGCCAAAAGGCGCTTTGGGGTGCGTTTTTTTTTTTTTTCACCTCGGAGGCCCCTGCTGGGGTTCCGCGGGGTCCAGCCCTTCATGAAGAGCACCGGATAGTGCGCCAGCACCAGCTTGATCCGCTCACCTAGACCGAACCACTCAGCTCGCTTTGGGCAGTCATCCTGCACTTCCACTCCATGAAACTGGGCTGCAGTCAGATCTGCTAAGTGATCGACGAACTTTGGGTTGGTTAAGTTTGAGAGCCCGATCACTAAACCAACTACACAGCTAAAAAACTAAGGGGATGGGGGCTCCCAAGGAAAGTCAACAGCCCACAAGTTGGATGCATTTAAAACAAGAGAGGTGGCACGGGGAGCCCTGTGAAACAAACAAGATGAAACCAAGTACTTGGAGAGGCCCCGGCCCTAAGGTTTCAGGCACTCGAGCACCCTGCCGTCTCTTCACGACTTTCACTTCGGAAGCCAACCTCTGGAAATGCGTCCGGGTTTTCGGCATAGACACCGGCACAACTTACGAATTCCGGCACCATATACTGGGGGCTGGGCAAGTTCATCTGTACCCTCAATGGGCAGTAAATACACATGCTGTCACCAAGACTCCTAGACAAATGTCGAAATACCCTTTGGGCTGCCTGGTTTCACAGTCATGACTCTCTCGTTCGTAATTTAGCCTCGAATAGTGTATGGCCATTGCCGTTGCAGGCACGTGAATGTTTGCTTTTTGGCTTTTACTCCTTTGGCACACAAAAGACAATTTCTATTGACAGTTCAAATAAGTCCGAACGGATCATCCTCGTGTTTATCCTATGTGTACCACCAAAGGTAGGCATAGTCAAAACACTTCAAACAACCAAGCTCTCTTCAGAAGTCTTCTGAATTGAAGAGGTGGGTATGTATCAAAGGCCTCTCATGCCGGATAGCGGTTGTACACGAGGGACGCAGAACATAGTTCTCACGATGATTCCCTAGCCTGCAAGCAGGCAAGGCAGAGAGACAGGTGCTCTTTTCTTTGGGGGGGACGAATCTGTTTCACTGTATACCGAGGTCCTCCAGTGGAGGATAGAATAAGGGTACCCTTTTTGCTGTAGTTTATTTTAGTAGGGGAACCCTCCCCCAAAAAAGGGTGAAAGGGCACTACTGGGGGACCTAGACACTATGGATTTCGCAAACTGAATCAGGACTAAATCGATACCAAACCAACTCTGAACCAACTCTGAACCAATTCTAACAGTCGAGTGAGGGATTCATCAAGGCCCCGCCCTCCCCAAACAACGCAAGGAGACCCAATAGCGGAACCGCTAAAATACTTCAGCAGTCAAATGCACCCCCTAAGTGGCCCCGAAGCAGTCTCGGACTGGGTACTGTTGGTACTGTTTAGTGCTGCTTTAGTACTTGTTGAGTAACTTAGTATTACTTCAGTATGGGCTTTAATATTGTTTGTTTTCAACAGGGGCAATTCCTTTCCTCAATTGATTAGCCTTTTCCATTCTGAATATTGAATATCAGGGCCGCGGCTGTAGCTGCCCTTGGACAATTCTTGGCCGGGCTCTTTTCAAGGGGGCACGGACTTATTTCAGGGTTGTGGATTTTGAATTGGTAGAGTATTGGCAGTATTGGATAATATTGCCAAGTGCTGCCTCAGTACCATATTGGCTTAGTACTGGGATGGTTTTGCTGTGGAAATGATCTTTCCTCGATTCCGTACCCTTTTGTAATTCTACCTGTTGAGTACCATAGACTTGGCTGTCACCTCTCATGAATAAACAATTTGCCTGGGGGAACTGATTTGTTTCAGAATACTAAGGACCAACAAGTTGGAGCAAACAGGATAACATCTCCCGGTGTCTGGGTGAAGGGCGAGCTAGGAGAGACTTAATATGGGCAGACCCTATCTGCTTTGCTTTATTGAATACCCTTTTTCCTTTCGGCGGGAGTCAATGATTGCGGGTACAGTACGCGTCTAGTATGCGCTAACCTTTTGATTGATCGGGTACCCGCATTACTGGGTCAGTACAAACCAAAACTGAAACTAAATCGATTCCAGTCACCGGGCCATGAACAGGCTCTGTAATCGGGAAGGCCTTGAAAGGGGACAAGCGTGAAATCAGCCAAGTTTAAAGATGCCTCAAATATGAAACACACACACCCATCCCAATACCAAAGGGAGGCCATTGCTTTTCAATTGTACTAGGGTAACAAGTACCAAACACATACCCGTGATCCCCCTTTTGGTCCGACAGAGGCTTCAGGCGGCTGCGAATAAGCTGATCTAGCTTTCGTTTTGGTCAATGAAAACATGACAAATTCAACAATGCACATGAGCAAACGGACAAAAGCGCGCTGCTACCGGCATTGCGGGATTACCTTTTAATAAAGGGTGAACCAGGAGCTGTATCCCACATCTACGTGTGGCACCTATGGCTTTGTCGGCTTTGTTGGGAAGTCTTTGGTGGGCTTCATGTGACCTCCGACCCAGGCCGCGCCTGTCCAAAGATTCTCGGCCGTCTGCCTCAGTAACTGGCCCTCGTCCTATCTAAATGCGCCATGTGCTCAGGGCTTTTGGCTGTTCCGGCCTGTCCCTACGCCTACCAAACTGCCAATGTCCAATATTCTACCCAGTTGGGTGCAGGGCCAAAAAAGGGGAGCCCCAAAATGGCTTGCCCTGGTAATTGGAGACAAGGACTACAATCTGTGGTCTCCTGGCGGTTTAATTTTGACCCATACCCATTTGATGGCCCTGCAAGGATTTAATGGGGCCAGCCCACCCAACATGTTTGCTCACCCCCACGTTTTGAAGCACCCAGCAACATGGTTGCAGCGCCCCTCATCAAAATTGCTGCGCACATGTATGTTGTGGTCGTGGTGCCTGCTATAGTAGCCTGCTATAGTAGCCCTTTATTGCTAGTTAGGTTTGATTGAATTCCGTAGTGAGGGGTCCATGACCAGTCCGACCAAATTCAAGTCGCTACAACATGTCTTGCGCGTATGGCATGAGTGTGCGTGTGTGTGTGAGCATGTCCATGAACTACGTTTGTTCAGCTCTGCTGAGGCTCCTAGCATAGCGTTTAAACAGATCAATGTCTCTATCAACTGAGGAGTGCTCGGCTACCGAATTTTGCGCTACCATTGGGAAACCCACTGAGGTAAATTAATTTGCCGGACTTCAGTCACGTTGTTGGTTTCCATTTTAGTGGCAAGCACAAAGTGTGAGTTACTTCCTGTTTTGTTTTTTCACATCTCAGGAAGGGAGTCTACCAAAAAGCAACTCTCAGCTTTCTTAAACCTAAAGTGTCGGGGAAGACGTGCCCCTTTTGGGGGTTGGCAATTTTTTCCCGGTGAACCACTTGTGTGGCATTTTGCTCCCACAGACACTCAGCCAGATCTGCCCAAATTTCCTAGGACTTGGCCACAGCCCCCTCCGTAAGACTCCGCGGAATTTCGTGGCTGGAGAGCTGTTTCTCTGGATGCTCAAATGCAGGGCTCTGTTGCTGCTTTGCTGGGCTTCAAAGGGGCTCACCCGGGTGAATCGAATGCAGCGGTCTGGGTTGAATGCAAGCTACAAAGAGTTAGAAAAAGCCCAATCGCAAAGGCCATTTCTGAACTATCCACACACATGACCGAAAAAGTGGGGCAACTAGGGGACTCCAAAGGGAATGGCACCTTTTTTGCTCCTCCTTTATAGGCGGAGACACACAGCAAGCATCGATTTCCATGGTCCAAGCACTGCCAAATGCTCCTTCTTGGCCGACTTGCTCGGGTGCAGGATTGAGGCATGGAGGTCGCCGGGAGCAAGACCCGATTGGCTGGTGGCTCTAGATGGAGACAACGTCTTCTAAAGACTTACCTGGGTATCACGTTTGATGGGGAGCCTTCAAGCTGAAACATCTTTGGGGTTTTATATTCACCAGGTGCAGGGGATTCCTCGTTGGAGTTCACAGCCACAACCTCTCAATCCTCGCTATAGTCCCATCAAATTAGGCAGCAAGAGGGCTACAACGCTCATCGAACACTTAAATTGGCCTGAATCCTTCCCCTCAGCTAAAACATCGCGAGAAGGGGTGTCAAGAACATGATTAAATTCATCATGAATCATCTGACAGGAAACTCATCGGGGATCCCTTTGAAGGAACTTTGTGAGGCTGCGATGGTTTGCCCTGAATTCTGTTCAGATGCCTCTTTCCTTGACATGCTCAAACTTCAAGACTGCGTCCTATGCCAAGAAAAGCTATCACTGGTTTGTCATGCATCTATTCTATGAAAGAATGCCTCTCAAACGTCAACACTGTGCCCCAAGAAGCTTCGGTTTGGCTTAGGGTTGGCTGCTGGTTTGTTAAGGGGCGGTGTTGGGGCTTGAGGGTGGGTTTAGGTTTGGCTTAGGGTGGGTTGTTTGAGGGTGGATTTAGGGTGAGTGTAACGCTTGTTTTGGGGTAGCTTACAGTTGTTTTGGGTTGGATGGTTGTTTAGGGTTGGTTCACGCGCCTCTGGCATGTCCCTCTGAACCCATGCAGCTCAGCTGCAAGGCACTGATGACTCGCTGCATGCTGCTTGCCTGCTCCTTAGTACCAGGCATCGCGAGGTTTGGTCCATGCCCCCATGCAAAACAGCTTCTTTGAACAAAACATGAGCGTGATTAAAGGTCATCTCAGCGTCTTATCCTGGGCTCCATCAAGCATGAATCTCCCCTATATGATCTGGTGGTCGCGGACACGTCGGCACGCACATACGGAACCATGATTGGGTTTGATGCGCTCGGCGTGCCAGCCAACTGAACGAAAGATCCACTTTGACATCCGTGATGAGCTAGACGCTCGCAAGAACGAAAGTTCAAGCATCCAAACTCTTGGCGGACTGGTCCCTGAGTAGGAAAAGTTAAAGGCGAAGCAGCTTCATAACGAGCAAGCGCTTTCCAAACCAAGCGAGCCAGAAGCCGGTCGCTCCTCTCTGGGGAAAATGGAACCAAAAAGCCGCGCGTGTCGTGGGGGGGGGAGGGTCCGGAGTCCTGTGCTGTCACTGACTCGGAGGGTGCTCAGAGGGTGCGCAGGGTGTTTCACTCCCCGCCTCCCAAGTCCAAAAAACTCATCGCTTTTCTCAGGTCTCACACCTCTGTGCTCCCCTCACCGCCACTCACCTCCCGGTCTGTCCAACTTTGATCCTCAGTCCTACGCCTGAAGATCGGTGCCTGCATCCAGCTCCA